GAATCACCAGGTAAGTTTATAAAATTACTGATGTTGAGGCCCCACCCCCCAGACAGTGAAATCGGTATCTCTGGAGATGGGGGCCTGACATTGATAGTTTTTAAAACTCCCCATGAGATTCTAATGTGCAGCCTGCATTTGATGCCGGGGTTCTAGGACCACACTTTGAGAAACATTGCTTTCTTAAAGAATCCTATCTGTCTAGTTCTACATTGGGTGCTACAGGAGATGGAAAAGAATGTAGGCAAGCTCCCACTGCATTCTGTGGAGGAATAAAATCTAGCAATCACTGACATGAATACAGTGGAAAAGCAGCCATAGTGTGCCCTGAGCTATGAGAGGTCATGGAAAGGTGGACTTGTGCTGAGCGTGAGACTTTCTGCAGAGCCTGTTAGACATTTTAGGAGTATATCATAGAAATCAAAGACAGCCCCTACCCACAAAAGGAGGTCAAGTGTTAGTTTAGCAGACCAGCAGGCCTGGCCCATACAAAGGGTCTGCAGGCTTTCATTCCTAAAACAAATCACCATGCTCGACAGTGAGAATACAACTGTGAAGAAGATACAAACTTTGTTTCGAATAACTGACAATCTGTTCACAATTAAGAGGCAATTGCAAAATGGTGAGAATTGAAGAAAGAGACCAAATAAGGTTGGTGAGATAGGAAGCATCCAGTAGTGTTTCAAGGGTCAGGCTGGGCGTTTCAGTCTAATACAATTGCTGATAGTTCCTGATCAAAAGAATGCTATAAAAGCAATGTATATAGAAGATTATTTTGGAACCTTTAGAGGATTAGGGGAGAAACAGTACAGATGTAGCTCAATTAGCACACCTGCAGCAATCTAAGAAGTGGGTTAAATTTTCTAAATTAGGGTAACTTGGAAATGGGAAGGAGTGGTTTATAGAATTCCCAATGAAAAAAGACAGCTGCTTACATTATTTAAGCATACATGATTTAGCTGCATTCCAATTGGAAATGAATTATTAATATTGGAATTCTGTATTGAGCTCCTTACTAAGAATCAACTCCTCTCCTGCATTCCCCATTAATATTAATTGCTGTCATATCTTAACCTATTTCACAATTGTATGAGAAGTTTAAAAACTGGATGTCAAGTTAGTAAATTAGTCAAGGTCCAGGTCCTTTTTGAAGAATCACTCACTTTTGTTTATAATTCTACACAGCTTCATATATAAAAAGTTGCCCTGCCAAACACAGACTTTATGAAAATGGCAAGCCTCCATATTCTGTAACATACTAAAGTCAGTGTACTTACATGAGAATCTGAGCCCATGTAAAATATTTTATTAATCAGAATTAAATTTTTATCTTTGCCTTCAAGTGAACAAGTTCTAAAATTTTCACACGTAAATGATCAGTGTATAAATAATTCCAAAAAATTCACTGCTCTTGTCGGGCCAAATCCATAACCAGCCACAGAGTGGATAGTATTGAGTTACTGGGATATACAAGATTGTAAACTACCAGGCCCATATGTACTCGAATTAAGTCTGTATTGTAAGTCTGCATGTGTATTTTCACAGGAGACTGTAAAGTGTGGGCATGCTTTCAGCTCATTGCAGTCTGTGATTTATGGAGGCACGTAGGTCAGGAGTTTATTATGCTGAAAATCATAATAACTGTTTTGTTTTGCTTTTAAAGATGAAGTGACCAAAGCATGTTGAAAGATAAATGGGTGAAGCGTTTTGATTATGCTTTTATTTCTATTAAAGATTAAATATTATTGTAGAGTAACCAGCCATGCTAAGTATTACGGTATTAAAGCTGAAGTAGTTTGTAAGCTGATAGCCCCTTCTTTCCTCTGGGTTTAGGTTTGTTATTAATCAGAATGTTGGACTTGTTTAGTGTAGTCATATATGAAGCAAATAGTTGAAAAAGACAGCTACTTTAATTTACGGTTTTCTCTTTTTTCACATTTGTAAGAAAATGTGTTTCTTCTTGTGGACGTTGTGCTTTTGTTCACTTTACTTATCTAAATTTCATTTCTTGTACCAGAGCCAACTAAATCCAATTGCACATTCTCTCATGGCATAGAAAGGAGTAAGGTGCCTTTTTCATGTTTTGTTTTTTCTCTTTATTGTAGTAAAAACATACACACCAACACAACTTCCACATTTACAGCTCAATGACATTGATTACATTTTTCATATTTTCCCACCATTATGCTTTTTTATGTTTTTGATTGACAAAATTCTGGTAAAATCATTTTTTGCAACATGGACAGTAGAACTGCCCCATAGTGTTTCCAAGGAGCGGCTGGTGGATTCCAACTGCCGACCTTTTGGTTAGCAGCCGAGCTTTTAACCACTGTACCACCAGACCTCCACTAGAAATGGATATTAAGCAAAAACCTATCTGTATTTTTAGGATTGAGAATAGTACAGTGTTTAAAATAGAAGAATGTGTAAATTAGAAGATATTAATAAGTTAACAAAATGGTTTATTTTTAATATCTACATAAAACCAAACCAAAACAAACTCATTGCCATCAAGTCGATTCCGACTCAGAGCGACCCTAAAGGACAGAGCAAAACTGCCCCATAGGGTTTTCAAGGAGCAGCTGGTAGATTCGAACTACCAACCTTTTGGTTAGCAGCCGTAGCTCTTAACCACTGCACCACCAGGGCTCCAATATCTATCTAGGAGTACTGAATAAAACTGTTTTAAAGGGCATATGATTCCAGCTACTTCTTAGTGTTGGCTTAGGTGTCAGCACAAGAGTCATTTGGAAAGCCGCTAAGCACTTACTGAGGTGCAATGTAGGGGTCTGGGTCCCCCATGAACACAGGGCAGTCTTGCCAGTCTTTTAAACTTGTTTCTCATCAACAGTGATACAATTTCTAAAGAGTATACTTCCTGGGGAATGTAGCACAGATTGTTTAAGAAGTGTTGAAGAAAAAGACCACTTCTCAATATATGAAACAAAAGGCTTAATTGGTTATTTATTTAAGCAAAGAAGAGCTGTGCTTGTTAGGCACAATCTCTCCAAGCAAAACAGGCTGCAAATCTTTGTAGAGTTTTGGGGTCAGGGATTCTTTGGAGGCTGACATCAGCCTCAGAAGCATTGTTATGAAGGAGAGACTGTTGTTGATTGTCTGGCTTTCAGGAACACATTTACTGGAATGAGTCTGCCACTGATTGGCCAACTTTCAAAAGCATGAGGCTATCGCTGATTAGTTGGCTTTTAGAGGTGTATTCATTGAACTGAGTTGTCATTGATCATTTAGACCAAGGTGAGTCATCATTAATTGATTAAATCCAGTTTGATTCTGTTTCATGCTGGTTCTAGTTGTTGCTTATTACCATGGCTGTAGAACAGTCAGCCTTTTTCTAGGAGTTGGGGAATGTTTTACTCTCAGAAGTTAGTACTTTAGTAGCACTGTAGGAAAATAAAAGCACAAGAAAATCAGACTCTAGCAAATCTATTTAAATAAGCAATTATGATGTGATTAAATAAGGTGTTTAGTAAAGAAAGACTAGTGTAAAAAAAGTCGGCAGTTCTTATATGTGCTATGGCATATTCATGATTGAGATCAGTTATGAAATTTGATGCAAATAGTCTATTATTAATATTAAAATATAGAAATGTGAATGTGATTTACCTCATTTAGTAAATTAAAGCAGATTCTAGGTCATCCACTTAATAATATCACTTGTACTCATTGCATTCCAATAAACTTTCTGGAGTGGGATGGAAAGGGGTGGAAATGGTGCATAAGCCTCTACTTGTCAGTCAAGGTGAGCAGGAGCTACTAAACGCTTAGTAATTGTAGTATCACTAATACTGTAACATTTTATTTGTCTCCCAAGATCGTTCTAAAATTCTTAAAAATCTGGGTATATCCATAGGAGTTAATTGCACAAGTAAACCTCATTCATCATTTGTGCGACTGCAGGGCAAAACAGTGAGATCTCTGCTAGGACCTACAGCCCAAATCTCTGCTTATAGAGGGAAAAGTAAATTAATGGCATATTTGGGTTCCACCTGAAAGCTACAACGGGCATATAGGGAGTGTTAATCCTATAGGCAATTTAGGCTTATCTGCTGTGTGATAAAGAAAAGTGCTGGGTTTGCCCATAAAAACATTGTTTAAATAACTAGTGGGGGAAAGCCTTAATAGTTTTGTTTGTACAAAAAATAAACTTTTCTCTTTCCAGACTCATTCAGCTGCCCTGAAATCTCGTCTTTTGACTTCTTCGCTATTTATTCCTGACACCTCCTCATGGGGGCACAGCTAATCACTTACATATCTCCCTGCGGCTAGGGATAGCCAATTTATGACTACTTATGATTCAAGCACATGTTGATACCTTAAGACCAGTAAGAGGTTGATAAAGCAGGAAGAACAGCATGGCTGGATTTGTTGTAATCAACAACAATAAGAGGAGGAAATTCATCCATAGAGTCCAAAAGCTTAGTTTCCTTTTATAGGGAGGAAGAAAAAAAATTAAAAACCCAGGATCTTCCCAGAAAGGGGAGTTCTAACACCATTTGGGCATCACATTTAAATTTCCTTAGAGTATTCCCTACTTTTGACCTATTTAACTACTGGAAAAATAAATTGAAATAGGACTGAATTATTTTAGGGTTTTTACTCTGCACCCTGGCTCCCTCTGGCTGAGTGAGCATGCTCCTTGAGGGAAGCTCAGTGCTGTCTTATTACAGTTTAAGGAACACTTCTGGGTAGAACTGTTTTAACCTCCCATTAGGGCAGGAACTTCAAGAGAAGATGGAGGCAAATACCATGTTCACTACTAGAAATATAGACCAGCAGAACAAACTCCAGACCTGTTTTTTCAAATTTAAGTGTTTTCTGAGAAGTTGGTTTCCATGTGGTATAAGTACCAGTAAACAATAAGACCATCTCGGTGTACTGTACCCTTAGAGTTGCAATTTATTATGCCAAGGATAGTGCGTTGTAGAATTTCTACTTTAAGTTCTCATGCCAAAATGACTAAACTATCTCTCCTTCTTTAGGATGTCACATGTACTTCAATTTGAGGACAAAAGCAGAAAAGTGAAAGATGCAAGCATGCAAGACTCAGACACATTTGAAATCTATGATCCTCGGAATCCAGTGAACAAAAGAAGACGAGAAGAAAGCAAGAAGCTCATGAGAGAGAAAAAAGAAAGAAGATAAAATCAGAGTAATGATAACCAGAACTAGCTGGAAATGTGCTTGCAATAAATGGCCTTGTAACAGCCATTGTTCCCAACAGCATCACTTAAGGATATGAAAAGAAGTATTTTTGAACCTCTTTTTCTGGTTTTAAAAAACAATTATCTTGTTTTGTAAATTGTAGAATTGAGATCAGTTATCTCAAATGCTTTTGGTCACTGGTTCATGCTATTTTTTCCTAATTGACCTTTTCTATCGCTAAATCCAAAATAAAATCACTTTGCTTTCAGTTTATGTGTTAACCATTTTCAGGCTATGTAAGCCTGTTTGTGTCTTTTTACCCTAAAATATGTGAACGCTTTCTATTCAAGTTTTATAAGTTCTTTAGAAAGAGAATTTGAGGAATTCCCTCCCCCACCCCCAGCATTCTGTTACCATAGTGCTAACTTAAATATAATAAAAACTATATAATATAAAGATTAATTTCTTTTGTTTTGAGTGTAAATATCTGAGCTCAGCCATCCGGTAAGATTCGATAGCTTTATGCCTTAAATCTTGGGGAAACCCCCAAGTGAATGGTCACACCTCCATCCAGGCCAACACTTTGGTTTTATAGAGACAGCCCAGATACTCCAAAGAGTCTAAGCAATGTCAGCTAGCTCAGTGCATACCCTTCCTGGCACCAGGTCACCTGTCCACTCCCCTACCCTTCTCAGCACAGCCAAGAGCAAGAGCACATGCAGAGAGCCCCTCCCAGCACTCATTAAGAATTTAGCCTTTAATGACAATCATTCATTTTGATTGTTAGCTATATATTATCTATATTTCATCAATTTACTCTAAAATCTGAATGCTACAAGTACACCACAAGCTAATTTTCAGTTACCTAACAAACCTCACCTGCTACATCTTTTCAGCTAGTGTCTTACCAGCTCTGTCTTTCAAATGTAATAGGCTTTCTCTACAGCACTGGGTACTCCTAGCTGCAATACCGCAGCAGCAGCATCTCCTGAAGACATGTTAGAAATGCAGATTTTTATCCTAGCCACCACCACCCGACTACTGAATCTGAAACTTTGACCTGGAGGGCCTGTTAAGGACTTCTGGGCCTCACTGCTGGTGGTTCATATCTAGTGAAGGAGCCCTGGTGGCACAATGGTTAGGAAGTCGGCTGCTAACCAGAAAGTCTGTGGTTCGAACCCACCCAGTGGCTCCACAGGAGAAAAGCCCTGGCAATCTGCTCCCATAAAGACTACAGCCTAGGAAACACTATGGGGCAGTTCTATCCTGTCATATAGGGTCCCTATGAGTTACTGACTTATGACACACAACAGTGAAGTTAAAGATGTGCAAATCCAATGACCCACAAATTCTATTCCTAGATATATATATCCTAAAGAAATTACCGTACATTGATCAGACAGATCTGTAGTCAGGGCTTTGAACCGGTTCATTCCAGTTCAAACTCCTGCTGAGAATTTGCATTTCCATCCAGGTATACTGAATCAGAATCTATATTTTAAAAGATTCCCAGATGACTCTTATGTATAACTTTCTCAGAACTTGTTAGAAATGCAAATTCTCAGCAGGGGTTTGAACCAGACCAAACCAGTTCAAAGCCCTGCCTGTAGTAAGATATAGAATGAAGCATCAACCAAAGAATGGATAAGTAAGTTGTTTTATTAGCCATACTATGGAATACATTATAGTGGTAAAAATCAATAAACCAGAGGTATACGTATCAGTATATCTTAATGTGAGAAAGAAAACCATCTATATAAAAATTTAAAACACATCATTATATATTGTTTATAGATATACACATAAGTAGCAGAAACAAAAACATGTATGGGAATAATGGTTACCTCTGGGGCGGAGGGTTTCACTTGTATTTGTAATGTTTTATTACTTAACCAGATGATGTGTACTCATTTCTCATATTATTCTCTATACATTTTGGTATGCCTAAAATGTTTCATGATTTTTTCTTTATGATCATATCTAGAATCTGAAATGAAAGACAGAAGGACTCTTACAACTGATAACATTGTCTTTTTTGCTTCAGAAAGAAGGAGAAAATTTCAAAAAGAGAAGGAGGAAAGGATAGAGGTGCTCTGGGGAAATGTCAGCCACTCAAATGCAGGTCATCAGATGTAAAGTCACCAAAAGATAAGCCAGAGTTTGGAGGTAGGCCCTATCGTTCCCTCACCACAAGGGTTGATAATGTCAATTATATTCCTAGATATGCACAAAACAGCATTTTGTTCCCTAAAATGGCTCTGATTGTGTTGAAGTACCCTACTGGTTTTCCTATCACGCCTCCTAGAATGTGTCCATCTTTGCCAGTACGGTCTTATCCCAAGAATAGATGGAACCATAGGCCTGCAGGGTACAAGCGAGAATGGTGAGACTTTGTCTCACTTACTTTGGACATGCTATCAGGAGGGACCATCCCTGGAGAAGAACATCATGCTTGGGAAAGTAGAGGGTCAGCAAAAAAGAAGACCCTCAAAGAGATGGATTGACACAATGGCTGCAACAATGGGCTCAAACATAGCAACAATTGTAAGGATGGCACAGGACCAGGCAAAATTTCATTCTATTATACATAAGGTTGATAAGAATCGAAACTGACTAGATGGCACCTAACAACAACAAAAAAGATAACTGAAGGACAAAATTAAAAGCTCAGGTTAGTGGCATGCTCCCCATCCTGCTTCAATTGCAAGAGCAGATTAAAGGTCTGAGATTCCACCAAGATCAGAATCTTATCAGAAGAATGTCACCATGATTATAAAATTTACTTTGAACTTAACTGTTGTTGTTGTTGCTGTCAAGCCAGTTCCAACTCATAGCGACCCTATGTACAACAGAATGAAACACTGCCTGGTCCTGTGCCATCCTCACAGCTGCTGTTCTGCTTGAGCCCATTGTTGCAGCCACTGTATCAATCCATCTTGTTGAGTGTCTCCCTCTCTTTTGCTGACCCTCTACTTTACCAGGCATGATGGCCTTCTCCAGACCTGGGCCCTCCTGATAACATGTCCCAAGTATGTAAGATGAAGTCTTACCATCCTCGCTTCTAAGAAGCATTCTGGCTGTCCTTCTTCCAAGATAGATTTGTTCGTTCTTCTGGCGGTCTGTGGTATATTCAATATTCTTCACCAACACCATAATTCAAATGAATCAATTCTTTGGTCTTCCTTATTCATTGTCCAGCTTTCACATGCATATGAGGTCACTGAAAACACCATGGTTGGGGTCAGGTGCATCTTAGTTCTTAAAGTGACATCCTTGCTTTTTAACACTTTAAAGAGGTCTTTTGCTGCAGATTTGCCCAATGCAATGCATCATCTGATTTCTTGACTGCTGCTTCCATGGGCGTTGATTGTGGACCCAAGTAAAGTGAAATCATTAACAACTTCAGTCTTTTCTCCATTTATCATGATGTTGCTTACTGGCCCAGTTGTGAGGATTTTTTTTTTTTTTTTTTAATGTTAAGTTGTAATCCATACTGAAGGCTGTAGTCTTTGATCTTCATCAGTAAGTGCTTCAAGTCTTCTTCACTTTCAGCAAGCAAGGTTGCACAATCTGCATATCTCAAGTTGTTAATGTGTCTTCCTCCAATCCTGATGCCGCATTCTTCTTCATACAGTACAGCTTCTTGGATTACTTGCTCAGCATACGGACTGAATAAGTATGGTGAAAGGATACAACCCTGACGAACACCTTCCTGATTTTAAGCTATGCAGTATCCCCTTGTTCTGTTCGAACAACCGCCTCTTGATACATGTACAGGTTCCTCATGAGCACAATTAAGTATTCTGGAATTTCCATTACTTTGCAACATTATCCATTATTTGTTATGATCCACACAGTCAAATGCATTTGCATAGTCAATAAACACAGGTAAACATCTTTCCAGTATTCTCTGCTTTGAGCCAAGATCCATCAGACATCAGCAATGATACCCCTCGTTCAAGTCCTCTTCTGAATCCAGCTTGAATTTCTGGCAGTTGCCTATCAATGGACTGCTGTAACCATTTTTGAATTATCTTCAGCAAAATTTTAGTTGTTTGTGATATTAATGATATTGTTCAATAATTTCCGCATTCTGTTGGATCACCTTTCTTTGGAATGGGCACAAATATAGATCTCTTCCAGTCGATTGGACAGGTAGCTGTCTTCCAAATTTCTTGGCATAGACAAGTGAGCGCTTCCAGCATTGCATCCATTTGTTAAAACATCTCAGTTGGTATTCCATCAATTCCAAGAGCCTTTTTTTTCACCAGTGTCTTCAGTGCAGCTTGCACTTCTTCCTTCAGTACCATCGGTTCTATGCTACCTCCTGAAATGGCTGAACATCGACCAATTCTTTTTGGTACAGTGAGTCTGTATATTCCTTCCATCTGTTTTTGATGCTTCCTGTATCATTTAATATTTTCCCCATAGAATCCTTCAATATTGCAACTTGAGGCTTGAATTGTTTCTTCAGTTCTTTCAGCTTGAGAAATGCCAAGCGTGTTCTTCCCTCTTGGTTTTTTATCTCCAGGTCTTTGCAGGTCATTTTAATACTTTATTTTGTCTTCTTGAGCCACCCTTTGAAATCTTCTGTTCAGCTGTTTTACTTCATCATTTCTTCCTTTCACTTTAGCTACTCTATGTTCAATAGCAAATTTCAGAGTCTCTTCTGACATCCATTTTGGTCTTTTCTTTCTTTCCTTTAATGACGTCTTGCTTTCTTCATGAACTTAACTAGATAATGACAATGTTTTTAAAAAGCTTGAAAATACATTTAAATTATCTGTTAAATGTTGTATAAAATGTGCTGATAGTAAAGTCTTTAGAAAGACAAAGGAAAGTGTTTGAACTGTAGAAATTGTTAAAAAAAAAAAAAAGTTTGAAGACAAAAAAAAGAAAGAAAATGTGAGAAATTAGCCTTTATATTTCATTCTAATTTTATATTTATTTATTTTTCTTTTTTGTGCCTTACCCTGGCAATTATTCTGCAACACCGCAGTCTGTTAGAATTCTTATTCATCATTGTCTGACAATACTGGACATTCTAGACAGCAAAGAGGACAATTTTTCCTAAAATTTTTCTTCTCATTTTCTCACAAAACTTTTTTTAACTTTGGCTGAAACTGTTGGCGAGGTGAAAGGTAAAACTAACACACCCAGACCTCTCCTTTTTCAATAGGTAATTGAAGTAAATACAGATCTCTCTAGACTTTTTAATAGTGTAATGTCAAATTGCACATCATCACATGCTCTTAGCTGTCTGTATACTCTGAGACCACACAGTCGGTAATGCATCTAAAAATGGGGACACCATAGAACAAGGTCATTAAAAAGTGTGAGGAGATGAGTGGTTTGCTGCTGTTGTTTTTAGAACAAGTTCAATAAGTTATGGTGTCCTTATCAACTGTCACTACCAACTTTCTTGATAGGATATGACGTGTGAAGTACATAAACCTGTTCTGTTGAATCAGCGTGGCCTGTATGGAAAAGGTTAGATAAAGGCAGAATATTGCCCAAACATGCTGTTTAATCTTGGTGATAACAAAGAAAGAAAACGGAGGTGTGAAGTGAGTTACCATTGAGGGTTGTCTCAGTGCAAGCAATTTGTATGTATGAGGTGTAGAGAAGTTAAGAGGGGTTACATTCTTTAACACTGTCATTCACAAAAAAGAGCAGGTCTGGTTTCTCTATGGCTTTGACTCTATTCCGGTGACTAAATAGTTTATCAGGTGGTGCCATTTCTGCTTACTAGAAAGCAGATGGTTTTCCTGTCGCGTATATTGTACCTCCTTTCTTCTTTTACCTTTTAATGAAGAGAAGGGAAACAAGGAACTGTATTTTAGACAAATCCTTTCTAATAAAACATGATAAAATTTGAATTCCAAGAGTAATAATAAAACACCAAATCTTACTAAGATCAGTATTAGAAGTCCCGTGCTTGTATAAAAAATACTCATTATTCCCATTTATTCCATATGAATATCTTTGTCACAGGCGCTAAGAGTTTCATTACATCTTGTGGATAGTTATTTTCAGTGGTGTGCTAATAAAACAGCTCCCTAAAGAAAAAAAGGAGAGAGAAGGAAAAATTCTGATTTTGTACCATCTGCCAGTTTCCATGGTATAAATT